GCGGGTAGTTTGAGCTTCAAAAGTGAACTTGATGGGTGATGAGGGTGGAGTTCAAAGGGATGGAGTGTGGCAGGGGAATGATGCTTCCCTGAAGTGTCTATACACTAATGCGCGCAGTATGGGAAATAAACAGGAAGAGTTGGAGATCTGCATGCGGTCGCACCGCTACGATCTCATTGCAATCACGGAAACGTGGTGGGACAGCATGACTGGAATGTTGTCATGGAGGGCTATGTGCTTTTTAGGAAAGATTGGCCGGCGAGGCGGGGTGGTGGAGTTGCTCTTTATGTAAGAGAGCAGCTAGAAGGTATTGAACTCCACCTGGGGGAGAGTGGTATGGCTGACACTGTTGTGGGAGTGTGCTACAGGCCCCCTGATCAGGAGGAGGAGGTTGATGAGGCCTTCTACAAACAGTTGGAATCAGTGTCACGATTCCAGGCGCTGATGCTTATGGGGGACTTCAATTATCCAGATATTTGCTGGAAAAGCAATGTGGCCAGGCACGTGAGGTCCAGACATTTCCTGCAATGTGTTGAAGACAACTTCCTGATGCAGGTGGATGAGGAATCGACAAGTAGAGGGGTACTGCTGGACCTTATTCTCACTAATAGAGAAGGGCTTGTCAGGGAAGTAAAGGTCAGGGGCAGCTTGGGTTGTAGTGACCATGAGATGGTGGAGTTCAAGATCCTGAATGGAAGAAGTAAAGCAAAAAGTAGGATTGCTATCCTGGACTTCAGGAGAGCCAACTTCGATCTCTTCCGGGGCCTACTTGGAGCTGTCTCATGGGCTAGGGTGTTCGAAGGCAAGGGGGCCTGTGAGAGCTGGTCGGCATTTAGGCAGTTCTTCCAAGCTCAGGATCGGTGTGTCCCTGTGAGGAAGAAATCGGAAAAGAGTGGCAGGAGACCTGTGTGGATGAGCACGGTGCAAACTCAAGGGAAAGAAGAGGGTCTATGAAATGTGGAAAAAGGGTCTGACTACTTGGGAAGAATACAGGAATGTTGTCAGGGTCTGCAGGGATGTGACAAGGAAGGCTAAAGCCCACCTGGAATTAAATCTGGCGAAGGGGATAAAGGATAATAAGAAAGGCTTTTTTAAGTACATTAACAGTAAAAGGAAGACTAGGGAGAATGTGGCTCCCCTGCTAAGTGATGGAGGTGTTCTGGTAACGGGGGATGCTGAGAAGGCGGAGATACTGAATGCCTTCTTTGCTTCTGTTTTCAGTGAAAAAGCTCCCCCTCGGGAATCTGAGACCCTGGAGGTTAGTGAGAGGATCTGGGGAATGGAAGACCTCCCTTCTGTCAAGGAAGAGGTGGTCCGAGAGTGCGTAGACAACACCAATGTTCACAAATCCATGGGACCCAATGAGATGCATCCATGGGAGCTGAGGGAGCTGGCAAAGGTGATTGCTGAACTGCTTTCTGTCATCTTTGAGAGGTCTTGGAGGAGGGGGGAGGTGCCTGAAGACTGGAGGATAGCCAATGTCACTCCGGTCTTCAAAAAGGGCAAGAAGGAAGACCCAGGCAATTATAGGCCAGTCAGCCTCACCTCTGTCCCTGGAAAGGTGATGGAACAGCTTGTATTGGATGTCATCTCCAGACAACTGGAAGAAGAGGAGGTTATCAGGAGTAGTCAGCATGGGTTCACCAGGGGTAGGTCTGTTGCCTTTGCTTCGGCAACCTCTGAATAATGTCCCGTCGTGAAGTGCTCAGACAGCCCCGGCCAAATCACACACTTTATGACACCAATGTGGTGAGCGGCAAATGGCGCTTATTGCAAGCAACACACTCTTCTTATAGTTGTCCCTTATATCACAGTGCTACCAATCACCCTTGCTACGGTTATCTATGCCCAATAGACGTGTGGCATGTCTTGTCTTGCCATGTCTCATCATGGTTTTCATATGAGTCAAGGAGCCCCCGCAGAGGCTGATGACTGTTACAGCCCCCCTTTCACGTATTAGCTAACCACGCAAGGGGCCCACACAGATTACGCCTGGTTACAGGGTTACAGCCCCCGCTTTACGTATTTGTTGACTACATCTCTAACTTGCGTATTTTGTTAACTACAATCTCCCCCTCCCTAAGCTCAAGCAAATCTTCTACAACTCGAGAGGACCCTAACCGCGTACACCCCGAAATCCCCGCGTTGCGCCTATACATGCCATTGTCCTCTCGGTTAAGCCTTTTGCCCCGTTACATCGTGATTCGCCAAATAATCCTACCCTAATGCCTTAAACCATACTTATAAATGTAATATACCTATATGACTATAAGTGTAAAGCATATTAGTATTAGACCTAATACAACTATGACTGAATAACGAATAGAGTTAAACAGAGTTAAACATTCCCGTCGCATTGGTGGACCATCCCAGAAGCACTTCCCATCAGTGGTGTTCTCCGTCCTTCTTCACTCTCTCTAGGACATGATGGATCTCTTCTGTGTCATGGTGAATGGTGATCGAAGTTTTCTGTCCATTATCTCTTACATGTTTCAGCAACTGGTGCAGGTCATCATGTTGCAAAAGCTTCCTTACCAAGTTCCTTCCTTGGTAAGCCAAAGCGAGATTCATCCCACTTGGAACAGGTGATAGGTCTTTAATCACCGTGTAATTATCCTGCAAGAACTGATGTGATGTCACGACACTTAATAATTAAAGCCACATCCTACAATACTAGTAAAGTTATAGACAGAGAGATTAGAGATTAGAGATTAGAGTGATTGCTGATAGCTTCAGTGGCACTATCTATGCCCAATATATACCAACATTGTCTCAGGTACCTGTTGGAATGTACCTCAAGAATGATAAACATTTGTTCAATATCAAGGCAGATGTCTCAGGCTTTGAGAGCATTGCTCTCACAAACCTGCTGTATGGAATTGCTTGTTCTCCAGGCCTCAATCTGGCCACCTCTCCCTGAAGGGAAACTATTCTAATGCCCACAATGTATACTGCACTGGCTTAAGCACCATGCACATCAGATTTGTTACATGAGGAAAGAGAAGGCCTGATGCTGTCAGGACTTCTAATGCATTTAAAGTGAGGGATGATTTCAATCCCCATTTCTCTGCACAATCTATCAGGTGTGTGATGTCTTTCGAATTGAGAGGTACCCATTCCGGGTCTCTGTTATCATTCCCTATTATCAGGAAGATCTCTAGTACTCTTCCTCCCTCTATCAGGCTAGATCTAAACTTCCCACAATCTGTTAGTGCATCTCTCTTAACTCCTAAATGCGAATTCACCTCTCTCCTTTCACTATCCTTTTCAGTCATAGCTGGAAGCTGTGGGCTCTGCACCCCTCTCACTGTGCCCATCTCTCTTTGATCATGCACTGACTGTTGTAGAGGCTTCTGATTGGTTGCATGCGCACTCAATCTTGTAAAAGGATGTGTGGGTCGAGTCAGTGGGTCTGAACACTGTGGCAGAGAGTGGGACCGGAGACTATCGTTATTTCTTTCTCCGTCGGGTGCAACCTGAGCAGAGGGCACTGGCCGGACGCCACCTACTCCTTCAGGCGCAATCAGGGTGGACAGTGCTGGCCGGACACTACCATCCCAGCGCCTGTAAGTTACATCGCTTCCCTTTCTCTCTGCTGTTTTTTCTTCTACTACCACCATAACTTTTGACCAATCCGTACCCAAGCCTTGCCCGCAGTCCCCACCCCCCTGGGTGTTACTGCATTCCACCTCCTCAGAGGAGACAGCAAGTGTCCCATCCCAGCTCACTTTTTTCCCTGCCCCCACAGGTGGTGTTAGGTTACACAGAGAAGGATACAGCGGTTGTCCTGGATACGGCTGGGGAGTTTCAGAGACCTTGGATTCTTGCACTTGTGCCGTTTTGCAAGATAAAACTGCAGACAGTTCAGCGCAGTCTTCTTCTACTTGTTTATGCGAAGCTGGAGCCGAGGGGGGAGCAGAAGGGGGTGCTGATGGTGCGGACGAGATGTTAGTCGCCATAGCTGAGGGCATATTTGCGGTGTTCTCTTCCTTAGGGGACCTGAAAGAGAGTACGCTTCCCGCGCCGTTTCTCACGGTGTTATTAAATTCCAAACCCATCATAGCGCGCGCAGCTTCAGGAATTTTATCTTCTTCTCTCGTGGCTCGGAGAGCGCCGAGGACCAACCCCCAAATTTTAAGCTCCTCAAGTTTCTGCTCCTCTGTCGCACGCTGCGCAAGCGTGGATGTAAATGCATCCCATCTAGTGGGGTCTAAAATGCCTTGAGGGGAGGGAAGATTCCACTCCTCTTCCAGGCGAGTAAGTACAGCGGCAATGTCCTTCTCAGAAGGAGCATCCTCACCGAAATAGTCCTTACAAGCCTGATGCAATACCTTAATGACGGATTCCATGGTTGTCCAGGGTGATCAGCCCTCCACCTTCCACAAGCTTACCGCTGTGGGATAACTTCGCAGCTGCGCTCACAGCCCCAGGGGGATCAGTCCCTCCGGCTCTTCCGCCGCCTTACCGCCGCGGGCTCCTGCATCCGTCGTGCAACCGGCTGTCACATATTCACGACTGGGACATGGCATTATCACGTCGGGGTCACCACTTGTTGCCTTTGCTTCGGCAACCTCTGAATAATGTCCCGTCGTGAAGTGCTCAGACAGCCCCGGCCAAATCACACACTTTATGACACCAATGTGGTGAGCGGCAAATGGCGTTTATTGCAAGCAACACACTCTTCTTATAGTTGTCCCTTATGTCACAGTGCTACCAATCACCCTTGCTACGGTTATCTATGCCCAATAGACGTGTGGCATGTCTTGTCTTGCCATGTCTCATCATGGTTTTCTTATGAGTCAAGGAGCCCCCGCAGAGGCTGATGACTGTTACAGCCCCCCTTTCACGTATTAGCTAACCACGCAAGGGGCCCACACAGATTACACCTGGTTACGCCTGATGACCTTGACAGCCCCCGCTTTACGTATTTGTTGACTACATCTCTAACTTGCGTATTTTGTTAACTACAGTAGGTCGTGCTTGACCAATCTGGTAGCTTTCTATGATGTTGTCTCTGGCTGGGTGGATGGGGGGAGAGCAGTGGATGTGGTCTACCTTCATTTCAGCAAGGCATTTGATACTGTCCCCCATGACATCCTTATAACAAAGCTGAGGAAGTGTGGGAAAGATGAGTGGACAGTGAGGTGGGTTGAGAACTGGCTGACCGGCAGAGCACAGAGGGTTGTTGGTGGTGGTGCAGAATCTTATTGGAGGCCTGTAACTAGCGGTGTTCCTCAGGGGTCGGTGCTGGGTCCGGTCTTGTTCAACATCTTCATCAATGACCTTGATGAGGGGATAATGGCCACCCTCAGCAAGTTTGCTGATGATACAAAGTTGGGAGGATTGGCTGACATGCCTGAAGGCTGTGTTGCCATTCAGCAAGACCTGGATAGGCTGGAGAGCTGGGCAAAAATAAACAAACGGATGAGTTTCAACAAAAGCAAGTGTAGAGTCTTGCATGTGGGGAGGAATAATTCCATGCACCAGTACAGGTTGGGGGATGACCTGCTGGAGAAGAGCTCTGTGGAGAGGGACCTGGGTGTCCTGGTGAACGACAGGTTGGCCATGAGCCAGCAGTGTGCCCTTGTGGCCAAGAGGGCCAATGGCATCCTGGGATGCATTAAAAAGAGTGTGGCCAGCAGGTTGAGGGAGGTGATCCTTCCCCTCTACTCTGGCCTGGTAAGGCCTCATCTGGAGCACTGTGTCCAGTTCTGGGCTCCCCAGTACAAAAAAGACAGGGATCTCTTGGAAAGAGTCCAGCGCAGGGCCACAGAGATGTTGAGGGGCCTGGAGCATCTCTCCTATGAAGAAAGGCTGAGTGAACTGTGTCTGTTCAGTCTTGAGAAAGGAAGACTGAGAGGGGACCTGATCCAGCTCTATAAATATCTAAGGTGTGGGGGGCAGAATGGCAAGGCCGGACTCTTTTCAGTGGTGAGTGGAGACAGGACAAGGGGAAACGGCTGGAAACTGCAGCACAGGAAGTTCTGCACAAATGTGCACAAGAACTTCTTTACAGTGAGGTGATGGAGCACTGGAAAAGGCTGCCCATGGAGGTGGTGGAGTCTCCTTCTCTGGAGATGTTCCAGACCTGCCTGGATGCCTACCTGTGCGACCTGCTGTAGGGAACCTGCTTTGGCAGGGGGGTTGGACTCGATGATCTCTGGAGGTCCCTTCCAACCCCTACAATTCTGTGATTCTGTGATTCTGTGCAACGTCCATTAACTAATGTGAATCAGAGCAGTCTACACTAAAAATGTATTTTTTTCACTGAGGGGAAAAACAGTTAAAAGAAAAGTGTATCAACAATCTTTTGTTATTGTTGTAATTTGATCTAAAGAAGTACTGCACTTCTGCTGATGAAGTATTACTCACATTCACTTCCCTCACACTAATTTACTTATTTTTAACTTTTAATGCTGTTTAATATCACTTCTGATTTTAGCCTAAGATAATTCTCTACAGTTATATGTGTATTTGTGATTCACATCTGTTTTCTTCTCCATGTATACCCATCATCACATACAGCTCTAATTTTTTTTTTTTTTCTCTCAAGAAACTACAGTCCCCAAAGCACCATTACAATCCAGACAAAAGTGAAAGTAATAACTCATATCAAAAGTTAGCAGCCACTATTGATATTCTTAAGCATTATACCTTGTTACTGAAAGGAATATTGAACCTGGAATACTGTTTACTTGCCCTACAAATCAATGCCTATAGGCACCTTCAATACAAACATACAGAGGCTTTCTTGTCCTTCTTAATAACCAACCAGAAATTTTCACTCACACCATCCCAAAGGCAATCTCATCTGGAGGGTATTGTAATTAGTATTGTTGCAGATACTGCAAAATACTTCATACTTGTTTCCTTAAAACCAGTTGTGTTTTCAGAGGCATATCAAATATTTACAGCCTTTCTCAGAGAGCATTATTTCCAAGGCAATTTTATTTTTTATTAAAACCAAGGCAGTAATTTCTTATGTGGAGAAAAGGCAGAGATCTTTCTGCAGCATCAGAATCATAGAATCTTCGGAGTTTGAAGGAACTTCTGAGGGCCATCCAACTCCCCTGCAATGAACAGGGACATCACAGTGAGATCAGGTTGCAAAAGGTCTGATCCAGCCTCACCCTGAAAGTCTCTAGAGGTGGAGCATCAACCACATCACTAGGCAACATATTTCAGTGCCTCATCATTCTCAAATGATTTTTTCTTTATATCTAACCTAAATATACCATCTTTGAGCTTGAAACAATTTACCCTTGTTCTATCACCACAAATCCTGCTAAAAAGTCTTCATCTTTCCTCTAATTCCTCCTCAGATAGTGAAAGGCTGACATCAGGTCACGTCTCAGCCTTCTCTTCTCCAGGCTGAACAGCCCCAGATCTCTTAGTGTGTCATTAGATTATATCAGAAACACTATCCCAATTTTTTATTATTTTTTACTCATAATCCAAAATGCTGTGCTTCAGAAGTGCTACGTGAGCATTACTTCAGAAGATGTATGCTGGGTAACTCTGAGCTTATACAAGATTCTGATGTGTAGTGCTGAGATATAGGGCCTCAGTGGTGATTATTCAAACCTCACACTACTTGTTGGGAGCTGGAGCAGATTTAGTTTCAAAGGATGTTACAAGAGTTGGTCATGTCACTGGTGGTAGTGCTCTTCCTTCTATGACCAGAAGATATTCTATAGTTGAGTATTATGTACTATAAATACTCACAAGCAAAAGTAGTATAACAATACAAATATAATAGCAATAGTGTAACAAAGAAACAAACCCCTCCTTCCCACTTCTTATCTTTGGTTCTTGCTTCTAAGCTGGAAGGTACACAGCTGCCATGCTGTTCTGTGTCATGTTACAAATGCTGTTTAGTGATGGAATGTAAAAGATATTAAGGAAAACCCTATGAGAGCAGGAAAGCTTTTTATTAAAGATTTTTGCTTAGGTTTTAGCAACAGAGGAAGCTAGTCAGAGGAGTTGTATGAGCAGAGGAGTTGTTTGAGTTCCCTGCATTGTTCAGAAGCTACGATTATGCATTGCTACTGTGTTTGTAGCATGTTGCTTGCTATTCATTATGCTACATAAATACAAGGATCTTGTGAAATAGTGTTATACCTGAAGAATCAGTTCTACTGCAAAGGACAGGAAATCTCTTCAATACTTATTGGACTTCTCTGTTGCAACAAATTGAGATACAAACAGCGATCAGAGCAGTAGCTTTCTGACTAAGGTTCAACTGCATTATAATATTAAATAATAATTAAAAAATAAAATAAAAATGAAATTTTTTAAAAAAACTTTCATGATGCATGTCCTGAATAAAAGGTCTGAAATACAACTGAAATCATTATTAATTGGGGAGAACTACACACTTCAAGGAAGAAAAAAAGGAGTAACTGCATAGAATGAGAAAGAACATTCTTTCAGACTTGATACTTATACCTCGGGAATAGGCAAGATGGCAGGGAGATTCTGCTAGTCTACGTGTAGAAGATGTTCTGCATCATGCATTTGACAGTGGATCTAGTAATAATTTTCACATATTTCATTCTATGACAAATATAACCAATCCCTTCCAGGCAATGTGTATTTCACATATAACTGCCTTCTCTTCCCCTCTCCCCTTGATTTAGATTTGCACTGGTAAAATACCCTAATAAGCATGGAGATATCAGTAACAAAGTTTGCATTTGTACATAACATTTGAATGTTTTTCTCACCTGACAGTGTAGTGCCTGACTTTACTAAAAAGGATTATAAGAATATTTGTGATTTTCCAAGTGACTCTTACTTCTGGAAAACAAATAGAACATCAACAGGTTTCTGAGAGTAATTGTTTTGCATTTTACTTCATCTTTGTTTAGATCCGTACTTCAAGTACCTATATAAGGCTCAGATTTTCCAGTAAGGTCAATAGCATCTCAGGTTCTAGCCTGTGTGTTTGTTAAAATTCAAGACAAGTGAAAATGTGCAGTAATAGTTTAAAAACAAAGGGCATGTGATAAGCCTCGGTAATATTTGGCAAAATGATTTTCATCCTCTTTATGTCCAAATCTTTTAGACAGAAGCATAGAGGAGTAGGCTGTGAAAACAAATAAGTCTCTGGGAAAGATACAATGATGGGATAATTGTTCTGGGATGGGATGAACAAAAGCAGCACTTTATTCTTGTCTTACACACATGGCACAACATACAGAACCAGCACAAATAACTTACAAAATCTCATACACCATGCTTCCTCTCGAACAGCTTCTATTAAGTTACAACACCATAACAAGTAAGGTATTTAGTTACTACAGATCCCCAGTCTCCATTTAAGGAGTTGTTATTTTTGTAAACTACTTAGACAAACATCTTTTTTTTTACATGTTTAATACAGTACAGTATCCTTGACAGAGTTCAAGATATTCACAATACGAATTGAATGCAATATAAAACAGCAGAATTTCTTATCTTGGGACAGGTCTTCATTTGCTCCTGTCTTGTCTTAACAAGTCTTCTTTACTCTTAACAAGTCTTCCTTACTCAATTTTCCAAGCTAAACATTACATTAAATGAAAAAAAGTTTACTTCCCATTGCTGTCAATGTAACATATATATATTTTTTGCTTCCCTTTCCCGTTCCTACCCCTTGCCCTACCAACAAATGCCATTTAGCCGGTAGAAATGTTAATTCTCAGGTTTCTCTAAAAAGTTTAAAACAATTTTGAAAACAACTTTTGGATGGAAAATAAATAGTGCTAGTAGGCCATCATAAACTTTAAAAGTTCAGGTTTTTTCTCCTTGTCAGAATCTGTGTCTGTTGGAGATTCCTGTCATCTGATTTTCCGAGATATAATGTTACTAATGGGCCAGTGTACAAGACCTACGTTTTATTTATTTGTTTATTTCACTTACCAACTGAATTGCCAGCTGTCTTACCCCTCTGATGCAATCACTTTTAGTATAAAGTACTGTCCTTACCAGAAATATTAACAACTCTAGTCATATAATGCTGTCTAAAATTCTTCCAGCCACTATTAAAGCTCTCTCTGTCTATAGCCTCATTGTACCAATTTGATTCATAGGAAGAGTTTCACTCTATGATTGCATTTCAAACCTCACTGAAGCTTGTGGGCATCATTGCTTCAACTGCGTGGCTTTGAATTACACTTTGTTCAACAAGATTGGCAAATCTAGCCCTTGAGAAGTTAATCAGCTTATAAAAGAAAAAAGTAAAAAAAAAAAAAAGATTTTTCTCCTTTATACATACAATACACTTTCTTTTTGTACATTGAGCATCATCTTAAAAAGCATGTTTATGTCATTTTGAAAATGAATTTTTACAGAACTTTATAAACACTGTTATATTAAAGACATTCTCAAAAACTGAAGAAATTACTCACACAAAATCTGAAAGAGCCTCAATAGAATCCTTTCAGTGTAATTTTTCTACTTGCATATTTCATATTTCAGTGTTCTTTACTGCAAACATAATTTGGCCATGTGAGAACAGGGAAAAGTCAATAAGAAATAGGCAAAAGTTGTTCATAAGATCTGAATCTTCTGTTTAATGAGATTAATGTAACATTGAACATGATTTGTTATTGTTGTTGCTGTTGTTATTTGGTTGTTTTTATTCATTTTTTGTTTGTTTGTTTAAATTCCATCCTCCTTCTGTTACTTTTCCATATATTGTGTGGTACATTAATTCCCAAATAGCCTCATTCATTTCAGTGGGAATACAAGTGAGAAAATGATATATGCTAAAATACTGAAAGCTGTTTTCCACTTTTGAAATGAGATGTCAGTGGTTATAAGGTAACATCATCATATTCCTATTTACGTTAGTGTAATAAGAAATGACATATGAGCAATGTTTTCAAACTTCACTATCAGAAATCAGTGTACAAACGTTAGGAAATAACTGCCTATATTTGTGCAACAGTTCTGACAGCCTAAATATATATTAGGTATGACCAAGAGTGAATTTCATGAGCCTAGATCCTTTATACATATACCTATCTTTTTTATACTTTATACTCCCAGAGACTGGCACAAATTAAGTTTAAGCACACATGTGTCATGCAAACATGAAACACCAATTTTCAGTGGAATCAGTAGTAGACATTAATGCATGTCATCTAAGTGAAATGCACCTTTCCAGTCTTTTGTCTAACAAAATACTGTATAAGTCATAGCATTAACTTGATTTCCTGTACTGGAAATGTCTAAGAATGCATTAATCTTTGTTTGTTCGGAGCAATCTTTCGGTCTGTAGTGACATAAGTTCAGGAATTTAAACAAATGAATGAGATTTTATACTCTGTCTCATGATTTTCTTTCTCTTTTTCGTTTAATGAAAAAATCAAAAGGAGAAATAATGTTTCATTAAATGATATTGAAATACATTTAATGTAACTATAATTAGCGAAAGATCAGTGACAGTAGTATCATGTATGCTTCTTTGTCTGAGGGTAAGTGCTTTCACTTGGCATGAAATACTAAAAGTTTAATACTTCTTAGAGGAAAAAACGTAACCCATGCCTAATCCCTAACATATAGTCACTCGTAAAGGAGCCCTTTAGACAAGACAATATACATTAACTTACTTGATGATTTATAGAATGTGTCTATTTTAGTCACTGTAATAAAACAGAATATATATACACATATTAAAAAATCCAAGTGTAGATAATTAAACAGTATTTCCATACGTTAAACAACTAGTTGCACTTGATGTAGTTTTTAAAGCAAGTCACTGAAAATTTCTTCAGTCTTTGGAATGATCAAAGTATAAATAACCAAAACATACAAATAATGATTGAATTTTCATAAAAGAAGGTTTATGACAGAGGGACAAAAATAATGTCCCTCTTATTCACTGTCAATCCCCATTGTGTTTATAGACTCAGCGCCTTCCCAGAATAATCTTAGAATCATAGATTAAGCTGCAGTTTTTTTTCTTTGATCTAGCAGTATACTTTAATGAGGTCATCTTCTTCTGGATAACAGTACTAATAAGGTTTCTAGTTACTTCTTCATAAGACTTAGTTTGTTCTTGTTGAAGATTATACTGCTTCAGACATTTTAGGCTATGTAAACTACAGAAAAATACTTACCTAATTTAATTAAGTTAAAGTCTAATGAAATATAAATTACTTTATTTACTCTGAAAATTTAGTTACCTTCTATTTTGATAATTCAATCCAGTTTTTTATTTCCCCACCTTCCCCAAAAAACTCTCGTAGTTACAAGCCTGCAATTACGGATAGCAAAGAAAGAAAACTGCTACTTGCCTATGGAAATATATATAGGGTTTTTTTCAAGTTCTAACTCTGCTCTGAGCTGCTAACCGTCACACAACATATGCCATTTGGCAATTTGCCTCCTAGGATACTCACAGATTTCTTTCCAGTGTTCTCCACCTGTTCCTTCTGCTGAAGATCCTAAGGTTAACCTACCAATGACCTCATTCCTTGACCCTCTATCTGAATCTAAAACCAAGAATTCAATGCTGATATCATCAAGGCTCTCACAAGGAATGTCAAAGACAAACAATTCATTGAACACGGCATTAGGGGTACATTTCTTGACATGGGTTTTCTTTTTAGAAATTCTCTTCTTAACATGGTACAGATTCACTTTGACATAAGGATCTGCAATAGAAAGAAATAACACAAATAAGATATTGAATTATTTAGAAGTTCCTTCTTCTAGTTACTGGTAAACTTTATAGCATACCAAGAGAACTACAGCACAGTGATGTTTCAGTCTACTAAAGATGATTTGCTTTATCTAGTTTTTTTTTGTGTGTGTGTGTTTAATTCTGAATTAGTTCCTTTAAGCTCCATTTACAGATATCAAAATATGTAATCAAGATTTAGGTAATGTCTTATTTGTACTATGGAGGTGTTTCTTTCACAAGACATTGTAGTCTGTTAACTTTGGTAATTATACTCCGTTGCTTCAAATGTTAGTGTGAAAGATAATAAATTTCCAATGTATTCTGAGAAATACAAATCCCTATGTAATTAAATGTAATAGAAATCTGTTTTTTACACATTCTACAAGTAGAAAATAATAACCAGTATTAATAAATTGGGGGTTGGGCTCGATGATCTCTGGAGGTCCCTTCCAACCCCTACAATTCTGTGAATAAGGATCAAACAAAATAAAATCTCAAAAGCAAGAGAATAATCTTATGCTGAGAAAATGGACATAATTTATTTCTGGTTTGGTTGTACCAAAATTAATTATTTTGATTAAATTTCTCCCACATCTTTTTACTAAATAAATTTAAAACTAAACTTCAAATGTAAGATTACATTTACTGGCTGTATGTGGTTTGTCTTTAAATATTTTATATGTTACTGAGGAGGGGAAGAGAAAAAGTCCATAATACTAACATTGTTAGTGAACACTGAACGTTTGCATCCTTCAGAATTTTTCAACAATGTGTTGCAAGATTCCTTAACTATTGTTTTCAATTATGGCTATATCTCTCCTTCAGAGGAATTATATATATAAAAAAAAATAAATAGTGGGAATGGTCAGTTTCAAGTACATTAATTCTTCATTTATGTATGCATTTATTTCAGTGCAAAGGAGGACTTGTGTTCAAATTCTAATGGTTCAAATGCAATAAAAATTCCAGTCTATGGAAGTTAATCAAGCCAAATAGTCTATGTAAGCAGTCCACTAATAAACACAAGAAACAATTATGGTTTTTTTTTTTTGTTTGTTTGTTTGTTTTTGTTTTTTTTGGTGTTTTTTTTTTTTTTTTTTTTTTTTATTCCCAAGTGAAATTAAAATTTAACCTTATTTAGAAAATGTATGCTTTAATTATCAGAATGAAGTGGTCAGATGATGAAAATGTTTTTGTCTGCTTGGACTCACAGCAGTTTGATGTGAGCAAAGTGTGCAAAAAATGCATTTTAACAAAATGAACACTTTTTTTTAATAATAAGTTTTATTTACTATAATTTTTTCATTAGCTCGGAATGAATACACACCACACAAGGTCTAAGAATATCAAAATCACTAGCCATCAGTAGATTAATGATGTTGTCTGTTTCTTTTGAAATACATTTTTTGAACTGCTATTTTTGGCTAATTGATAAGACTGGAATGTTGCTTTTGACTTTATTAGACCTATTAGAAGATCTCAACATCCATATCTCTTGATATGAGAAGTAGAAGTACAGTATTATTAGCTGCAGTAACTAAAATTAAAAGCCTACAAAAACTGCTTCCTCTTTCTTTCAAAATATCCTGTGCATCAAAAGAATCAAGACTTGTACGGACTCAATACAGATGATTTACTGTTTGAAGTCCTCTGTTGGGTACTGTTGTTTTTCAGTGTGTGTGTCTGCCTTCTTTTCAGGAGGTTAGTATATTTTATTTTGAATTTTATTAAGTTATCTGACATTAGCATGCACCTAACTACAGTTCTAACATCAGCTTCAAAAAAGTTTTATTATTTGCAAAATGGTACAAGAGTAGGAGACTGGAGTTATAAAAAGACTCCTTTTTTAGTGTATTTCAAGCACTGAAGTAGTTCACCTTTCACCTTTCCAAATAAACATTAATACCAGTGGACTAAATTCAACACAGATGTAATTTGTTGACTTTTGGATTCAAAGCTGAAATATTCCATATAAGAATCTCATTTGATATTGATTAGCTAGTAATAAACTGAATTTCTTTGTCATATGTAAAAGTTTTAGTATCTGCAATATCTTCTTATGACAGTTGGATCCTGTTATAGACAATGACAATACTCATTGGTCTCTACTTCCAATAAATGTCATGTTTCTTTGTATTTTGTTTTTATTTTTCCCTAATGTGCTTGAAGAAATTTCTAATATATGTTCTCTGAAAAATAAAACATTGACCTAGATATGAATGAGATGAGTAGGCTGCAGATAATACAGACACCGCTTCCTCATTTCTGGGTTATTTTTAATCCTTGAAATGTCACATTTCAGCTGTCTTCTCTCTGTTTGTTTTATATTCTTAAGGCTTATTCATTACTGAAAACATTACCTGATAATCCTGAAACATCAGATTTAGGTAGATGTCTGGCTTTCAAAACAACCACAGTTAGTGTATTTGTTGTAGATTGATAACAGAGAGAGATCAGCAGTTCTCCACGTCCAGATGACTTCTGAGGAAATTAAAAGAAATAAAAAAGAAAAACTATTTATGAGCAATTATGTTCACCAACTTTGAAACTAGATAGAATAGGATTTCTGCAGTGTTGCATTACTGTGTATCTCAAACTGGTGTCAAAAGATATAATTCATGGAGCTGTGATGCTTCGCAAACAAAATATAACTTTCATGTACTGCAGTTCTACAACACCTCCTATATCTTGCTATTAGAGTTTGAAATAAATAAAGTTGTGAAAATATGTATAGTAGGGTATTGTTAGCTTCAGAGATAAGAAATGAAATCCTATATCCTGTAAAATAAGTCTCAGTGTAAGTAAAGTTTCTTAAGAAAAATAAATAAGAAACTTTGTGAAAAAAAACGTTGAAAAACAAATTGAATAAAAGTAATTCACAAAAAGAAAAATAATAAAATATTTTTAGTCTTAAAATTAATGTAGCCCATTAGTGAAAGAGTCATTTATTTCACAGTAAGGATGGAGCCAGTGGAAACAAAAAATGAGAATACTTTATGTATCAGAAAATCCACTAATTTATCAGCAAAATATCAGTGACATTGTTATAATTGCAATATAATGAAAGAATTGCAAGACAACTATATTAGTTATAGGTGTGATGTCTTGCAGACGTTTAGTTGATTTGTCAGCGTGCTTCACCTTTGGAAACAATCAAACTGAAAGTCAATATACAAGCTACTTTTTAGTAGAGAATAAAAGAAGTGCACATGATTCATATGCATTTCTATGGCTCTGTGACTGTTGTAAATGATCTTTCTATTCTGAAATGAGACAAAAAGATATGAAATATTTTTAGCCTGGTGAAATCAATAAGTTTTTCCACTGACTTTGCTGTGGTTTTAACATCTCCCTCATATCTTAGGATCTTTAGAACAAATGCAGCTTATTTAAAAGTCACTGAGGGAAAAAAAAAGCATGATTTAAAATAGGAAAGATGAAGAAAGAGTATAATAATGTATAAATTTTTGCATTCTTTCACATCAAAGCAAACTAAAATTGAATTTAGGCCTCTTGACCTAATGTGAATGGATCCACTAAAACCTGCTGACCCTCTGATTAAGCAAGTAGAATTTAGAATTCTAACATTTTCTTTCACAATGCTTATTTTAACTTGATTTTATTATAGTTGTAAAATTGTTTCCTTATTCTGCCCTAATGAAAAGATGTCAGTAGTTCATTTGATAAACTTGTTCCCTTCTTTTCCCAGGATGCTATTAATATTGCTCAAATATTATAGTTAAACTAGTACAACACTTCTAAATTTTAAATAAGAAATATGTTACCCTAACATTTCTTTTGATGATCTCTCTGTCCATTAGCATCCTTCCTTCTGACAATTCAGTTCCTGCAAGGGGAATGAGGACTTCTCCAATGACGTCATCTCTGGAAAATCTGTCGAAGCTCAAGATCATAAAATGGAGTGTTAAGTCTTGAATTTGGCTATAGGGGATCCCATAAAACGTGAAGGTCTCATCAAAAGCAGGATCTAAGGTTTTCCTCAGCACTCTGGTTTTCACCTTGTGCTTTTTCTCAGGAAGGATTGTCATTTTGATGTAGGGATCAGAAGTCATTGACTGTTCATCCATTGCTGGCAGCCCACGTGCTTCCTTGATGCTCACTACAAATGCCTTTTTCTCGAAGTTGTATTCTAAAGAGAGAAAGAGAGTTCCTAGCTTGTCTTGTTTTTCTTCAGATGACAGGGACATGGTGGATTTTAAACTATCAGGGGAAACTAAATCTTTCTTCTTTTCTGAAAAATGCTTTGAAGATGAATTTTCAGGGCCTGGAGAACTCTGCATTTTAGAGATGGTTTTCGGAAAGTTGCCATTTAGATCTCTATTCTCCAGGTCAAGATGAAGAGAATTCTTTGGCATTGCTGATTTGCTCTTTGCTTCACTTTTATCATCTACTCCAAACTTCTTCTTACTGTTGAGATTCTCAGGATAAATATCAACTCCCTTCAGAACATGAACAAACTTATATGGAGGAGTCTTATTGGATTTGGATGACTTGCGCTGACAGCAGATCCAAGCAAAAAGGGAGACAGAGAAGACAAGGCCAAATGCACTAAAGATCCCAACAACTGTAGGAATTTCATCTGCAAGTTAAATAAACAGCAACAAGCAAATAAGCAGCATTTTCTTCTACTCTGTGTGATATATAGTAAATTTAGCAAAGCAAACTAATATAAGATAGTAATAGGAGCAGTTGACAGACTGAAAGTGCTCTGCGTTGCACGCATTGGTCGCCACCTGCAGGCGCAAATGTGTAGTCCCATGCTGTTAGTATTTTTCCATACAAAGATGTCTGGAAGGAAAACAGTTCCCACCCCAACAGTAATTAAAATGAGTAATTTCTCAGCTATTTCATCACTCTGTGTGTAATTTCTGACTTTATAGGTCAGTGAGCAAAAACAGATAAGGTTTGATCTTTGAGTTTATGGAACTGTATTTCTTAGATATAAGCATTCTGATATGTCTGTTACTTATAGGTATATCATCTGCTTTTCACAGTTTCCTAAAATGCTTTGTACACTCAACTAACTCAGTTTTATGGTCTGATCTCATAATTGCCTGGAGGTATCTGCTGAAACTGAGTTTTTCAGGAGGTTGTAACACTCAAGAGTTTCAAGAGGATTTTCAATACATTCCAGGAGAAAGTCTATCAAGAAAAATTAGAATAACTACCTGCCAAGTGTCCCCTCCAGATGGATGTGACATTTGGCAGTTGTATGTGAGTCCAAAGCTGAAATACTCTTCAGTGTATCTTTGACACCCACTAAGCTTTGAATCTGAGACGCTATGAATCAAAGCTGTGGAGAGCATACAGGACGGATCACTTCTTCTGAGTGTGTAAGAGAAACATTAAAATGTAATTTTGATATTAATCCTATATTAAAATCTGAGTGAAACGAAAACTATCCAGGTGTTTCAATCTCAAGTGTGATGTGAATACTTCAGTAGCATACTGAATCATTAGCCATTCACAAGCCATTCACAATTGAAGGGGCAAATGAGCGCAACTAATTGGAAATCCAATTTTGCCCATAAGTAACATGACTAAGTGAGTTTAAACCTCCCACAGTGTAACAATAAGAGCTTAATCTTTATTCTCTGAACTAGTAGACTAATAGAATATTAATGGAATGACATTGTTTTTGCATAAATCCAATTGTGTTACAGTTCCTGTAGCAAATAATTAGCACATCATTTTGAACAAGGAAAGCAAAACTATCATCCTGTACACATTACTAAACATGCTTTATCTAGGTAAAACCTGGTCTAATATATGTGCTACCACCATAACTTTTAGTCCGAGTAAAAACAAAAGCAAAACAAAACAAAACAAAACCCCACAACATAATATTATCAAAGAAAAGTAGGGCAAAATGTTCCAGAACAGAAAGTGTAAGGTCTTGCTATTAATTTCTTCTTACAATAAACATGTCACTTTACCTCTGCTTACAAGCTGTATCAATCTATGTTTAATTGTAAGAAGTCAATTGATGACTGAAAAAGGCATGCAAAATTTTAAAAATATATATATTTTTTAAGCTGAGAATTTTTCTCTGAGTTTCAAGTATTATCATAGCTGTAGAAATTTAAATATATATGAAACAAAGGTAGAAAGCAAGGAGTAATTGAAAGATAATCAGAATACTTTAAATAACTTTCAGGAATCATCTATACATTTTTAGTGCTTTTTCATGAGTTTACATTTAAAATTTTTATAGTAATGGAAATCATGCTGTGTTTTTATTCTACAGCTACTGGAAGAAGTGGTAAAATCAATTTAGTATTTAAAATATTAATTAACTTCCTTAAATAAGTAATTAGATAAGGATGATGTCATGAGTGTTGTTAGAATTATCAGATGGGTGGGGTACGTAGGAAAAAAGAAGATAACTAAAATTTTTTATACTCACAACTAATTACATTACAACAATTTGTCATAATGTAAATCAGTTAACATTCAAAGCAATGTATTAACATGGAACAACACCTATTGATCCTGGGATAAATTATTTCAGTTGTGTGATGTAAATTTGAAGTCATTTCACCTAAGTCAGAGGAATGATCCTTGAATTTAACCACTGGTAAAGCAAATAACATCTAGGCTAGAGTCAATATTTGTATAGCAGAGTTTCGAAACATTTCCACATACAGTTTTTATGAGTAGCACTATTTATTTCATATTATCACTGCTTCTGAAACTTGCAGAGTCACAGTTATTCATTCTACAGTAAATGTATAGAAATGACACAATTGAAAAGTTCCTTGTCATCATGGGTATTCTCAATAAATAGAGATAAATCAAGATAGGAACATTTAGCCCAAAACACTGGGTTACTATAATCCCATCTTCTCAGTAGTGTTCTTTACACAACTATATTTCACTTTAGGTAACAGTCTACAAATCTTCCTCTATGACAAGATAAAAGGAATTATAACTATTCCAAGATTGGCTTTAATGAAGATTGGCTTTTCTCTGTGGCACAAGATGTGTTTACAGCATTTTAATCTGAAGCCAATATATTTTAACCAAGACAGAGAAAACAATTCCAACTCTTCAATCCAAAAATGCATCTAGTCAAACCTCTCTTTCTCTCTTTGATTTACCAGAAGTAATGGCTAGGTGGAAAGGAATAGAGAGAGAAAGAGAAGAAAGCAAATTCACACAACTTCTGGGATCAAAGAGAACTAGAAGAAATTCGGCTGAGGCACGAGGGTGGCTCAGCAGTGGCTGCCTGCATGATCCGTAGCCGGGAGTTGTGGCCGGGACGCACTCACCGAACTGCGGGTGGCTGGACGCGATCGGAGCCATGTTGGTGGTGCTCTCTGTCCGCGGTGCTGGAACAGCTGTCCGTGGTCCCGGAGCCTCTGTCTGACGCGGCTGTTCGCGCTAGTGGAGTCGCCCTCTTCCTGAGCGACCCCTGCCAGGAGCGCAGAATGTGATGCTCTGCTGTTTCTCGACTTGTCGCTCTCTCGCAGCCCTAGGACAGCAGGCTTTTTCCACGGTGGTGTAACAAACAAACAAACAAACAAACAAAAAGAGAAAAGAAAAAAAAAAAAAGAAAAATAACAACCTTATACCCGGAGACACAAGCAGTGGGGAAGGTAAAGAAGGAGGCTGTGATCGGGCTAAAGGAGTGGGGGGAGGGGGAGCTTCGATCCTCCCCTTTGCACTGATTTCCAACCCCCTTCCTGTTTTGGTTCTTCTGAGTAGCTCTGCTCCGAGACTGAAGACGTGGTTGAAACCCAAATTGACGCAATCCTGACGCTACAAGGCTGATATCAGCACCTTTCCCACCTCCCATCCCCCCGCCCCCCCCCACCCTCCCCCTTCACAGTCACCACACCCTCCCTCCTTTCCTCCCTTCTTTCCTCTCTTCCCCCCCTTCTGTCTTTCTGAGGATTGAACACACACTCATCGATTATTTTAACTGCCCTGCTGCAGGATATGAGCTCCCACCCTCTGTTGGACACAGAAAGAGGAATGTTAATGGCTGTGATTCAATGCACCCTGTGTAATACACGGGTGTGTCTGTTTTTCTGGGATATGATCTATTTATCTGCTTATTTATCTATCAGCTGGACGGGCTACAGTGATGTGAAGGAGATGCCAGGTCAGATGATCCAGATGCCTTGGCTCCAACAGAAAAAAACGTATTTCTGCTATGACTGATGCGATGTACTTACTCTTTTTGAATCACAAAAACTCTCAATGTGCATTCTCCCATTCCCTGTCCTTGATTCTCCCTATCACCCATCCCTACACAATACCCTAAGTCTTCAATCTAGAAATATATTTCTCTTCTCCTCTTGATATTCCTGCTTGTCTGGGAAAGAGCTGAATCTATTGAGATATGTCTGGATTTTACAAAATTTACATATCAGTCCCCCAGTCTGGACTAAGAACATTTAGAGAGATAGGGGTAATGGGAAGGCAGGTGAGAGAAATTGAGAGAAACAGAAAAAGAAAGCAGGACTGCCCAAAATTAGGACTACTATAATAACCCAGGACAAATCATAGAGCAACAAAGCTGCAAAAGCCAGCATCTGGCATCTGACTTCTGGATTCAAAAGGAACTGTATCAGCCAACTTTGAATCCCAACTGTTAATTCTGCTGCATAAATGGGAAACAGGTGTTGTTTTTCATCTAAATAACAAAATCCAGATGCTGACATAGTCTGGAATCACCCTGCTCCACAATTGGCTGCTTGGATGCTGGTATGTCTTGGCCCACTTCAAAGAATATTCTTGTTTAACATTGAAGACAGTGAAGCTTCTTGGCATTTGGAACAATAAAAAGGGAAATTTGAGGAATTGAAGCTCGCTATTATCAAAGCACTTGCCTAGTCTTAGAACTGAAAATATTTTGGCTAATATTAATTATTCTTTTCTCCTTCTGTAGCACTTTCAAGCAATTTGTCTTGTTACATGTACCTACCCATCTCTTTCATGTGGATATAACTATATCCTCTACCTTATACTTCCTTACTTCTTAAGTCACTTAAAAAGCATGGAGAATAACTTAACATTGTTTCCTTTTCAAACACTTAGAGTTCTATGTGTCAACTTGCTTTGCTTTTAGGTGTATTTTGTCAATACAATTTGATTTGGAAATGTTACGTTCACATACTGGCACCAATCCACTTTACAAATAGCTCAACTTCTTTCCTCCTGCCAAGTCTTCCCTCTGCCATCCTTACTAATCACTTAACTTTCTCCATTCAGAATTCATTTCTCAAAATGTACACCCACTGAAAACAATTCCATTTAATTTTAGACCCCTTTTCAGGTATTTAAGACACTTGATACAGTTGAAATAAAAAACCCTCATACAAATATAGGTTAAAATATGTTTAACTGGGATATTAAACTATCACAATATGTTATTATGCCTGGGCTTTAAAAACAATTCACAAGAGTAAGCATAAGTTATAGCTTACTTGGTTATCAATCCTAGCTGAGCTAGGATTGCATGTGATGAGGCTTGTATGATTGTAAACAATTCATGACGATAGAGATAATAATGATAATAATTACTATTATTAATGAAATCTGGGACGTCCTTAGTGTAAATATGAACAAATATTGGGGCACATGATAATATAGAATTTATTGATTCAGATTTTCTTTTAGTTTTCCGTATGTTTCATATATATATATATATATATATATATATATATATATATAGTTCAAAGAAAGACTTTCCTTGAGCATCCAGATTATTTTTTCTTATTATTTTCTCTGTTATTTTGATTGTCTGTGATAAAATTTGCTGAAATATGAAAGATACACGTTCTTTTAATATTATTATTTTCCCCCTAACTCCTGGTATTTCATCTTAGATTTTACACACTGTGTAAGAATCCTGTGGTGGTGGATGTTGCATAAACATTTTGTACAGAAACCTTCCTTTCTATTCTGTTCAGTGCAAGTGTAGCTTTTCAAAACATGATAGAAAATGTTTCTCTTCTGTATTTAGACATTTGGAATTGAGAAGACTGAGTGTATGCATAGGCATATGCAAGTATATAAACAAATATGCAAGTGAATGATTATATTTCTTTGTTGCATTCATCACTGAAATAGCAGATAACCAGTTTCTTACTACAATCATGAAACTTCTGTACTAAATTACATGATTCCACATCATGGAACAGAGTGCATATCCCAGAAAATACTCGAGAAAGAGGTGGCGTATTGAGTTCCTAACACATTCTGAGACAGACGTACTTTTTGCTCCCTGTGTTGTGCAAGCACCATCTAGTGTACGTCTTACAGCCATCAGCACCAGCCAACTCGTACACACCCATATAGGTAGCACAAACACAAATACAGCCAACTCTCTGTTTCTTCATGTATACTTCTGTCAAGAAAGCAGAGGGGAAAAAAAAATATATCATTTGAGGTCTCTGTCCTTTTTAATAATCAATTAAATCACTATTTTTCAGGGTCTTTTTTTTTTTTTTTTTTTTTTTTTTTTAACATAGCAGTTACTCTCCCTCTGTGGCTGTACATTCTTTGCACTTTCCTCTGTTCTGAAAAACAACGTGGATACTTCAGAAAAACTTCATGCAGTTTGTAAAATGCTCTTTAGAAAGCACGGACTAAGAATTCACTGCTGACATAATATTTCCTCAAATTTCCCATCAAACTAAATACAGTAATCTCAAATAGTTTCAACTCAGAGACAGGACATCAAAAGAAGCTGGCTGAGATTTTGTCTACACTGAGATGCAGTGGATTAATCATGTGCAAAATATCTCTGTATACACTTTGGCTGACTGTATCACATCAGGGCCTTCTGTGGTCTGCAAACCAGATTACTGATGCTCATGCATGCACAGAGCACCCTCTTCACAAAGAAAAGGGAGGGTGGTTGCTAAGTAACACAGTCTGTACACTTCCCAAAGCAGAGAGGCCTCAAATAAGCATATGGAGCTGGAAAAGATGGCCCATCACTGGCAAATGAACTGTCATCATTCCTCAGGTCCCACAGCCTAAATATGGGGAAAGCCTAATATTCTTCCCTCAAAAAATAAAATGAACAAAAAGAAATCAAGGAAAAAAAAAAAAAAAAAAAAAAAAAAAAAAAAGTTATTCTGGACAATATCCAGTGAAGCGTCAAGTAAAGATTATAAAAATAAAACTCCAAAATTTATATGTATGAGGTAAAACTGATGAAACAGCTTTCCATCTTTCCATCTCTGTGAAATGTTTCCCTGCAGCATAAGGACAGAATTTCACATTTTCAAAAATTACATTTATTTTCTATAGTTGCCAGGTACTAAGCTACAGATATTAATTAATACTGTTCAGCACCAATTAAATTCAAGCCCTCTAGCCCCCCTTGTAAATAAAATTTCAGTGAGAATACAAGCAGAGGTCCCTAATTGAGGGAAGTGTTTACCATTCACTGAAAGTGAAACAACTTCAGAATGATCTACAAAGGGATTCAGGTAAGTATGCTGCTTCATTCATTCAGTTCTGTTTCAATTACAATTAGACTATGGAATGGGGGCTAGCATCCCTCCATTTCTTGTCTCCAGCTTTGACAGTCCCTAGCTATGTACAAGCATGTTTTCAGATGCCACAGAAGACTCATTGATTCTTCCTGGGTTGAAACTGAATTCAGCTACATACATAAGAATGGTCTATATGAATTATCCGGTGTCCATTGAAGAGTGCTGTAGGTTTTCTGGACTGCATTTGCCAGCCCATGTAGATACATCAGTTACCAGAGAATTCTTGAAATCAAATCTGGATGAGCAGACAAAGATGAGGAAGAGGCGCCTACTAGAGGGTCTGAGATATGGAAACAGCCTCAAAAGTCATTACATAAGTTCATGGAAGCAACTAAATAAACTCCCTAGTTCACATACAGATGTACAGAAATCTAAACTAATGTTTTAAACATGAAATTGAGCCATGCCTCTGGGGTCAACTTTCTCTTGATTATACTGGCTGTATTGACCAGATACTCATTCTCCGTAGTGCAAATTTAAAATGTCTGTTGCACATATGGTTTGTTATAGTTGCTTTAGAGCTGAATTCCATTCCTAAAACTAGGCAAGAATGCCTAAAATAGATTTTACACTTACTCAGATATTTAATAAAAATAATAATAAAAAGTATTTTTCTCCTCTGTGGTGATACTATGTAGATCAATGTCTTGATGAAACTTTAAGGTATGTAATAACAAGTGTGAAAGAAACCATTCCAGTAATTTAACATTGTTTTTATTTAGAAAGTAACATCAAATGTTTGAAAGATAACAAGATTCCTCCCAGAGTGGGAAATATTTCTATCCCTTCAGAAGTCATGGTACCACACTGAAAGTTTTATTAAGTACACAATAATATGTATTTTCCTTTATTTTTATTTTTTGATGAGAAAAGCTCCCTGCAGTTTTATATGGTGGATGAAAAGAGAGAATGAGACATGCCTTCACTGTTGCAGTTTTTTGCAGAAAAGTCTCCAGAGTAGTTTCACTCCATGTGTACTGAAAGCATCTGATGATCAGATGACTAAGAGTTACATTATATTATATAATAGAGTATATTATATATAAATATAATATGCAAACATATTACAAATTATTATTATTCATTATTAATTATGTTATATGAATATAATATATAAATAAGATATATAAAAATAAATATATAAAATAAGATACCATGGAGTAAACTTTCACTTTGGAAGGAGAGACTACTTTAAAATTTCTTTCCTATTTTTTTTTTTTTTTTTTTATATCTAAGAT